CCCGGTCCAGCTCACTCTCGCGCTCTCTCTCTCGCTCTCTCGGTCTCGCTCTCGCTCTCTCTCTCGCTCTCGCTCTCGCTCTCGCTCTCGCTCTCGCTCTCGCTCTCGCTCTCGCTCCCTCTCTCGCTCTCGCTCTCTCTCTCGCTCCCTGGTCGTCTCTGTCTGCCTGCCTGTCTCTGCTTGTCTTTGCTGTCTCTCTCTCCCTCCCTTCTCCCCCCCCCCCCCCCTCCTGCACCTGACAGCCACCCACGCGACAAGAGTCGGCGCTCTCGCCCCTCTGGCCTGGCACACCTGTACTGCACTAACCACGCCCCCCCCCCCCTCCGTTGTTAATCTCGCCGCGCGCCGCAGGTGCGAAAGTCGCAGACCTTCTCGACGTACGCGGACAACCAGCCCGGCGTCTCGATCCAAGTCTACGAGGGCGAGCGCCGCTTCACCAAGGACAACAATATCCTGGGCAAGTTTGACCTGAACGCGATCCCGCCGATGCCGCGAGGCATGCCGCAGATCGAGGTGACCTTCAACGTCGACGCGAATGGTACCTGTCTCTCCCTCGCTCTCTCCGTCCCTCGCTCTCTCCGTCACTCTCTCACTCTCTCCGGCGCTCTCTCCGGCGCTCTCTCTCCCCTCTCCCCTCTCCCCTCTCGCTCTTCGCCACCTCTCCCGCCAGACCGCGCGCCGCGCGATCCCAGCCCCTGCCTCACGACCCCCTCCCCCCCCCCCTCGCCCACCTCTAGGTATCCTCACCGTCTCGGCGCTCGAAAAGTCGAGCGGCAAGAAGCAGGACATCACCATCCGCGCCGAGAAGGGCCGCCTCTCCGACGAGGAGATCGAGCGCATGGTGAAGGAGGAGGAAGAGAACCGCGAGGCGGACGCCGCGTACGCCGCCAAGGTGGAGGCGCGCAACTCGTTCGAGACGTACGCGTACTCGCTGCGCAACACCTTCTCGGACGAGGCGACCAAGGCGAAGCTGCCCGAGTCGGAGGTGCAGAAGGCGACGGAGGCGATCGACGCAGCGCTCGCCTGGCTCGAGGAGAACCAGTCCGCCGAGAAGGACGAGTACGAGGAGAAGCAAAAGGAGCTGCAAAACACAGTGCTGCCCATTCTGCAGGCCGCCTCGGGCGGCGGCGACGCCGACGCCCCTGGCGGCGATGCGAGTGGCGAGCCCACCGTCGAGGAGGTGGACTGAGAGACGGCTGGTGCGGGCGGGGAGCGAGGCAATGAGCAGCTATTCGATCGCTCGCTCTCTCTCCGCGCCGGGGGCGCCCCCGGCGCCCCCCCCGTACGCAGATTATAGCGAGATAGAGGAGTCTGAGTACTGAGAGAGCAACGAGGAGAATTACGATTCCGCCCCAAAAGAGTATGAGATTGAGAAATGCCGAAAGCGGAGCGCATGGCGCATGCTTTGGACACTGGTGGCGATGCCAAAAACACCGAGACGCCGCGGGTGTGCGTGGACCGCGGTCCGCGCCCGCTACTTTACGCGCTAGCGTGAACAGTCAGCGGCGATCGGCCCCTAACAAAAAAAATTTGTTCCAGTCTTAGCAAGCAAAAGGGAGCACACACGACTTAGCGATCGGCCCCTAACACCACCGAGCACGGTCCTTGGCTTCGCCCTCGAGCCCAAACCCCGTGGAATGAAAAACCCAGACGGCGACACGCGCCGCCGGCGCCGTCATGCCGCTCGTTGGAGCACATTCTCAGAGCCCGCGGCAAATCCTAGATCCGCTGGCGCGCTCAGTCACGTTGCGTAGCAAGAAGCCGCGCGCAGCGACTCGAGCACGCAGAAACCGCCAACGCACGCGATGCCAGGGGCTACATGCACCTACCTGAGTGAGCTCCTCCGCGACGGCCCCGTTTCGCTGCTTCGCCGCGATGAGAGGGCCTGTCCACAGCCAGACCCTTGTGAAAAGAGGCAACGTCCTTCTTGCGGCGTCAAGCGCAACTACGGTCGCCGATGAGCTGCGCCGCGAGGAGTCGACCGCGCGCTCCCACGCCTCCTCCGCGTACACCTGTTTCGTATCCATACGCGTAAGAAGGCTACACGCGGCGCACCCACGCCTCCCTCGCGTGCACCTTCGCTTTCGCCCGCAGCGGCTCCAGCTGCCGCTCTATTGTCGCCAACTGTGCCGCGGCCTCCGCCTCCCAAGCCTGCCATTCTGGAGAAACGCAGCGGCTGCTGTCAATCCTCTGCGCGACCTGACGCGAATCGGCCACCGCCGGCACCTTCCCCGCCTGCACCTCTATTGGCCGGGGCGGCGGGGCCGGCTCGAGGGGGCGAGGCTGTGGAACCTTGGACCCCTCGACCTGTGCAGCCTCCACTGCGTCCGACTCGAGGCTCCGGCCAGCAGATTTGGGTCGAGACACCACCTGCGGCTTCGCATACTGCTCAGGAGCATGCTGCCCCTCCGTTGCGCTGCCGACAATGGCCGCTGCGTCCTGCCCATCGCTGCCGGCGTCAGGCTCTAGAGCTTCCGCGCCACCCCCCCCAGCCTCACGCTCCTTGGCCTCGCCTCCAGGGGCCCCTGCTGCCGCCTCCGCCGCTGCGGCTTCCAGGCTCGACAAATCCTCCGCCGCCTGCGGCGAAGTTGCGTCGCGCGCGGGCAGCATCAGGCTCTCGGAGACCTCCGACGCCGTGCCTGAGAATGCCGTCACCGTGGCGGCACCCTCGGACCGCTCCGCCGCACCCGCGTGTGCGAGGTAAGCCTCCGGCGGGGGTGCAGCGCCCTTCTCTGTGGCTGCCTTGGCGAGCATGGAGGCATGGAGCTGCTGAAGCTCCTCGCCGCTGACGCCGTTGTACTAAGGGGTAGGGAGGCGGGAGTCCTGTGTGAATGTCTCTTGAGAAGAAGCTAGATAGGGGGGGGGCCAGGGGCGCCTGTAACTCGGGGTCGCCGCGGTAGGAGGACCAGAAATTCACCGCCTCAATCCACGCCTCGAGCTTCCTCGGCTGTTCCAGGGCGAGGAGGAGGCGGCTGCGCGCCGCCGCTTTGCTCTGCCCAGCGTGCCTTGGATCTGCGCCAAAGCGCATTGGTCATTGTTAGTGGCGGTGGGTCCTCGGCTCACTGCACTCGCCGCCGCCGGGCCAGCGCACACCTAGGTCGATCTGGAACGCCCGCGCGTGAAATTTGCCTCCCTCCCGCACCTCCTCCGGCGGCGTCACCACCGCGCCCCGTACCACCATCTCCTTCTTGGCTGGCTTGCCCTTCTCCTCGTCGGCGGGCGTCGCCCAGTACGAAAGCACGCCTGTGATGGACGCACCGTAGACCGGGGTGGGATCAGGATAGGCGTTGGCCTTCCTGTGTGTGGCTGTATGCGAAGGTGGAGCCAGCGGGAGGGAGGCGGTGGTTTCGCGGACTGGCAGCGAGGGGTGGGGTGCGGCGCTGACCGTCTTTGATGGAGCACCACCGCCTCTTCCACGACTTGAACCCGCCCGAGCTGCGCTTGTGGACCCATCCTACGGTGGGCGAACCTTCGACCTCGGCCCTCCTCGGGACCTCTCTGGTGGGCAAGGCCGGATGCGCATCCCGGCCCGGGTGCACCTCACTCCAATTCGTCCAGCGGAAGAATTGTGGTGGACTGTTCGCATTACAAGATTGCCGCTGGCGGCGTTCCTGACACCTGGGTCCGCGGACTCGCAGCGGTACTTGAGGCACGCACTCAAAACCGCAGCGGTACGTACTTGCGGCACGCACAGTAATCGCATGCACGCGCGCAAAAGGGTGTTTCCCCCCCGGTATGGGGCGTTTCCCCCCGGTATTAATTGGTTGTATCACTACCGTATTTGCTGTGCATCTGTCAGTATTTGCATTTGTACATGTACTTTTAGCATTGGGAGAATCTCTCATTTGTATTAGTCAATACATGCAAATACCAAATTGCAATACTGCCCATTAACTTTTGAGCGCGTAGACCTACCCGTAGCTAGGCGTGTGAAGGAGACGCGGATCACTAGCCGCCTCGACATCGAGGTCTTAGACCTGGCCCGTCCTCATGTCGCGACACATGAAAACATTGGCAAACGCGCCCGCGCCCAAGAACTTGAGCGGCTGCAGGTCGCCAAACGCTGGCTTGGCGCATCCGGCCGCGCAACACTGGTCGTCGTCGTCCTCCCTTTCCCTCCCGGCTGGCGGCTGGTCCTTCGGCCTGGCCTCACACTTAGCCTCGGGCTTTGCATTTGCGTAGCTGAGCCGCTGAGGCTTGGGCGCAGAGTGGCGCTGGATCTCGTCGAGCTCGCGCAGGGCGGGGGGGAGGCTGGAGTGGAAGCGCTGCGGCGAGGGGTTGGCCTGCGAGGGAAGGCAAGGCGGTAAAGGTCCACATACCCCCTTATAACCCGCATCTCCACGCCGCCTGCAAATTAAGCCCGCTGCCGAACGAGTTCCGTCGCTCCATGATCAAGGGTGGCGAATCAACGGCGCGCGGCTTGAGAGACGAGAGCTGGTCCTGCATCTCGGACGAGATCGGGACGGTCGCACTGGTGGCCGAGAGGTTCGAGTGGTTTGACAGGTCCTCGAGCGCCTGAGAGACAAGTCCAGGACGTGTTGGGGACGTGCCCGCGCGGCGGTGCTCCCCCTCACCGCCCCTCGCGCGCAGAGAGGTTCACGGACGAGGCGACCCGGGAGGGAGATGGTGTCGTCGGCGTCGAAGTCGCGAGCGGGTTAGGCGAGTAGAGGGGCGAGGAGATTGAGCTGCTGCTGCGCCTCAGTCCGGCGCCCTCGTCCGGCAACGCGGCGAAGGGCGAGTCGCCAATGACGCCGACCGCCGACACCCACGACCACAGGTGAGAGAGGATGCCGGCGGTCTTGCGCGCCTTTCAGACGCAGACAGCTAGGGTAGCGTCATTGTGATCAGGCTTCGGTTGGGACTTTGGGCCGCGAGCAGTGCGCCTTAGCATGCGAGAAGATGGCGAAGTACGGGTCGAGGAGCTCGACGAGCTCGGGGTCGAGCGCGGAGAGCGGGAAACGGTGCAGCTGCTGGATAATCGGCGAGTCCACCTGGGGTGAGGGTGAGGTATTCGAGCTAGGGCTGGGGGTGGGGTATTCGAGCCCCACCGAGCAAGCCCCACCGCCTCGGAGAGCAGAACTGATGCCGTCGGCCAGGACGCGACGGGGCACACGAGCGAGGGCTCGGCTGGCGGCGCCGCCGGGGAGGGCAGGTCGAGACGGAGCATAAGAAGGACGGGCTCAAGCACGTGCAGCAGCGGGGCAGGTGGCGAGCGCAGCCGGGAGAGCAGCCCGAAGTTGGTCGCAGCCAGCTTACGCAGCGAGGACTCGAGGCACTCAAACGCTGCGCGTAGCCGCGACTGGTCGACTTCGTACGCCAGCTGGCCCTTGAGTAGCTCCCCCTGCAATGTGGTGGGCGCGTTGCTAAAGCCGTAGTCCAGTGTGCATGGCCATGGGTCTTGTTCACTATCACAGCAGTGGACGCCCCATGCTGGACGGGGCTGGCCCAGATGGTGAGCAGACCCACGCCCTAGCGAGTTCACCGCTCGATGAAACGCCGCATCACACGCACCAAAGACGGTTCGGGCTCGAAGAAGTGACCCGCGCGCGGCAGCAACCGCAGCTCGGCCGGACTCGCAGACACGTTGCGCAGGACATGCAGCAAGCGGAGCGACTGCGGTGTCGGCACCTGGCGCGGGGAAACGTGTCTCAAATGACTGTGCGACGGGGCGATCCTCCATTGGCGCCGTCCATTGGCCTCGAGGACGCGTCGGAGCCCCCCCCCCCCCCCCCCTCACACAAAGAGCGGAGAGGGGAGGTGGGAGTGGGTAGACACGTGCGCGGGGGTAGTCAACTAGAACCCATGCGTCGCTCGGATGCGGCGATGCCGACGGGGCGCGGTAGGTCACCACGCAATCTATCCTGCCGCAATCTCCCCAGATCTCCCCGGATCTCGCGACAGCTCACCACGCAATCCATGCTTTACTTTTGTGTGGGTGAGTATCACACACCTCACACAAGCACGGGAGGAGATATAGCCTCCGGATATAAGAGCCGTAGGCCCGGTATAGCGGTACCTCCGGTCCTCCGCCGGTAGGAGAGGGAAGGGCGGCCCTCCCAATAGAACGTCAACGAGTCCCAACTACTGTGCTACAAGAGATTCATGTACAACCGGATCCCTCCAGTTCAGGGAGGTGCCCTTGGCAAGGCGCCGCCCCTTTTTTCTCGAAGCCCGGCCGGCACCGCCGCCAAGCATCGGCCCAGCGCGCGCGATTGATTGCAGTACGCGGGGGCCGCGCTGGGCGCCCACCGCTTTACCAGCCGCCGCCGCCGCCCTTGCCGCCCTTGCCGCCGCCCTTGCCGCCGCCCTTGCCCCCCTTCTTTCCGCGCCCGCCGTGGTGCCCCACGCGGTGGCCGCCAGAGCCCCTCGCCGCGAGGGCCTCCAGCTCAGCCGGCACGGGCTGCTGCGCGTCGGCGAGGATCCTCGCCTGTACCGCGCGAGGCGACGAGGGCGAGTCAGCCTTGGGGGGGCGGAGCGAGGCGGAGAGCGCGCGACCGAGGGCGCTGCCAGCTCTGGCGCGTGCCGCCCGTCCTTGTGCGTGAAGAGCGTGTCCGCGCGCCCCTTTGCGCCCGCGCGGCCGGTGCGGCCGATGCGGTGGATGTAGTCGTCCGAGCCGCCCTCGCCGGGCGGGTAGTCGTAGTTGATCACGCGGTCGATGCCCTGGATGTCGAGCCCGCGCGCGGCGACGTCGGTCGCGATGACCATCGTCACGGCGCCGTCGCGGAAGGACTGGATGACGCGCTCGCGCTCGCGCTGCGTGCGGTCGCCCGAGCAAGTGTCGACGGAAAAGCCGTCGTTGTAGAGGTGCTCGCCGATGCCGTTGACGTCCTTCTTGGTGTTGCAAAAGACGATCACGCGCGTCGCCGCCTCGCCGCCGCCCTTGCGGAACGGCTCGACCAGCTGCAGGAACGCCTCCCACTTGTCTCGCGGGTGACCGAGCACTGCCACGCGCTGCTCCACACTTGGGTTGGCGGTCAGCTTCTCGCCGCCGCTGCCGACGGTGACGCGCACGCGGCCGGCGGCGCTGCTCACGTCGAGAAGCTCGTCCGCCACCTACGGTGTGGATTCACACTACGGTGTGGATACACTCGACGGCTGGGCGGGAGGACGGTCTCGTGCAGTGTACTCAGAGCGCCGCCAGATGGTTGAATACAGCTGACTACGTCTCCTCACGAGTGCTGGTTGGAGTAGAGAGATCCGTACTCCGCTTCTAGGGTCCGCCACCCGCTGCACCGCCTTCGGCCACGTCGCCGTGAAGAGCAGCGTCTGCCGACCGACAGCCGGGATGGCAGCCACCAGAGCGCGGATGTCCTTCTCGAAGCCCATGTCGAGCATGCGGTCCGCCTGCTCACAGGTGTGGCTGGATCTATTCTGTCCGCGCATCCGGTCCGCTCGCCAAGCACGAGGGACCGCGGCTGATCTCGGGTGGCATCTCGGCGGCATCTCGGCGGCATCTCGCGCCTCGTCGAGCACGAGGACGCGGCACTCCGCCAGCGTCGTGCACGGCCCCTCCTCCTCCTCGCCCTTGCCGCCCTTGCCGCCCTTGCCGCCCTTGCCCTTGCCCTTGCCCTTGCCCTTGCCCTTGCCGCCGCCGCGCGCCTGCATCGCCAGCATATCGAGCATGCGACCCGGGGTAGCGACCACGATGTCGGCACCGCGCGAGAGGTGGCCCGCCTGCACGACCTTTGGCGCGCCGCCGTACACGACCACCGAGCGCGCCCCGAGCGGCGCGCCGAAGAGGAGCGCCTGCCGGACATGTGTGGACATGTCATGGACGTGTCCTGGGGAGTGGACGGTGCGCCGCCAAAAGAGGAGTGCCTGCTCGTTGATCTGGATAGCGAGCTCGCGCGTCGGCGCCATGACGAGGCAGTACGGGTGCCGCGGACCCGAAGAGAGCAGCTTCCCGCGCACAGCGTGCCAGCGGGCAAGTGCGGGTAGGAGGTATCCGAGCGTCTTGCCGGAGCCTGTCTTGGCGACGGCGAGGACGTCGCGGCCCGCCACGGCGGCGGGCCAGGCAGCGCCCTGCACCGCCGACGGCGCGGTGAATCCTGGCTGGGACAGCAGCAGCTCGACGAGCGGCTGGGGAAAGGGTGCATCAGCGAGGCTGGTGACGACCGCCGGCGCCGCGGTGCCGGCGCCGTCGAGGGTGATTTCGTGCGAGGCGCAAAAAGCGCGTGCGGCGTCGCGATCCGCGCTCACTCTCTGTATCGCCGCGCTCAGCACTCCTGCCTCCTTGGCAGCGTTGGCCTTTTTGCTGCTCGCCGCAACGCCTGCCGCATCTGCCAGCTTCCGCTCCAGCTTGGCCGCCTTTTCTAGCTTCCTCGCCTTCTTGGCGGCCTTGGCGTCGGCGGCGCTCGTGGCATCCAAATGGCGCTTACAACTGAGCGCGGGCAGCATATGTTCGACTGGTACCCGGGTACGTCGCCGAGTGCCGCAGAGAGAATTTTAGAGCCCCTGCCGACACTGCTTGGGGTGTCTGTTTTCTTTCTTTCTTTTTGCGCGGGAGAAAGAATTTTACAACCCCTCCCTGCACGACACTGGGCACGGCACGGGACTGGCAGAGAAAGAAAGTCGAGTGGGATTCCCAGGTTGCCAGATTCTCCGAGGACACGCGCAGGCCGCACCTCTAGTGAGGCCCGCATAGTATGTGGGAGACTCATGCCACCGGCCGGCGTCGGTCGCCTTTCCACACCAGATCGGTTGCGGCCTCGCGGGCGGCAACTGGGCGACATACGAGGCGATGCTCGAGGATTTTGCCGCGGCGCACCCGCACATCCGCTGCTACATCTGCACGCTTGCCGGCTCGTGACCGCACTGTCGGCGGCGGGCCGGCCTTGTCGCCTCACGCGCAAATTTGCTGTCCCCGGCGGGAGGGGGGGGGTGGGGGGGTGGTGCACGGTAGGCCAGAAAATAAAAGTACAACGGTCGGAAACTCAGACGAGATGGGTATGGAGGACGCGACCACTGCCACCACGCATCCGACTATGTGGTGTCCAACACCCCGCGGCCCGGGGCCCCCGGCGGGGCGCCCTGGGGCACACGATCTCTTGGTGCTAGCATTCGGCACGAAGGAGGAGGTGGCGGTGGGGGTGGAGGGTGCGGAGGAGGGGGGCGTGTCTGGGGAGATGGGGGATCGGGTGGAGGGAGGAGCGGAGGAGGGCGGCCCATCGAGTGGAGGGGGGTGCGCGGGGGGGGGGAAGCGAACCCGGAGACGCAGACAACAACCGTCACGCGATCATAGACGTGCGGCACGAAGACTGCCCGGGTCCGAATAGTGATGCCTGCAATGGTCCTGGTGCGTGCGGCCGGGGACGCGGGTAACGTCCCGGCTTTTTGTGTGCGTAGTACGTCTACAAGTTGCTATGTCTATGTTCCTCGACCGGCTGAAACCCGCTTCCCCCCACCCCGCCCCGACCATGCCAAGAGCGAAGACTGCACCCCCCCACTGTCTCTTGCAGGCGAGGAAAGCACAACTCAAATCGATGGGCTTGCCCCATCCCGGTTCCCGGAGTGGTTCGACTCCACACTTCCCGCACACAAATCCGAGACGGTGATGGATGCGTCGTACGGTGGTCTCATGCCCAGTGAGGTAGTGCATCTGACCACTCCGGATCCTGCTGAACAAGTTCCTCTTGTAGCTCGATCGGTCACACCGCCATCGCCGTCGGGGAGAGGGGGGACGACACTGCTTCTCTGCAGCGTGCACCTCGATCCTGTACCGTGTTTGTTATGACCCCTAGATGACCCCCCCCCAATGAACACACCAGTGAGGGTGGGCGAGACGATCGAGGGGTCCCGTTCCATGCGGAATCGACCCTATCCAGTGCTCAAGTGCTCAAGTGCATTCGGCAACTCTATCGAGAAAGTTTAAGAAAGTTAATCGTAATCGTAACCTCGGGAAACTGGTTGGGTAGTAGTCTAAGTTCTGAGCCTCGAGGCTGAGCGGGTCTAAGTGTGACTAGTCACGCTGGGGTGCTTACGCGGTCTAAGATCAGCGAGAGCCTCTTACATCGGCTAAGTCGGCCGTGGCACAGCCTGGGGCCAAGAGGCTCCCACCGTGATCAACGATACGGCGCTAGCCCCCAAATTTTCTTCGCCTGCGGCGGGCGCCTTCTAATCCGGATCGATCCTTCTCATGCTCAGCAATCGCCGCCTCAGCATCCTCCTCTTCCGATTCTCGTTGCTCTTCTTGAGCGCAATCTTCAAGCCAAACAGTTCTCACAAATAGCCTCAAGCTCAAACAAACGCATGTCAAGGAAGCCTGTGTATGCTGGTCCTCTTTGAACGATCCGCGCGTGAGGTAGATCTAGCATAGGGCCTTGTTGGCAGCAGCCAGCTTGTTGCGCTGCTTCGTTGCGATGAGCTGATTGGGATCGCAGAAGTGCATGCCAAGCACCGCCACGATCTTGAAGCAGAACACATCGCAACCGCATCGTCCGCACTGCCATCGGCATGCCGCGCCCGCCGCTTCGCCGCAGCCGCCTTAAGACACGCATAGCGGCAGCACATGGTACGGTGCGCGTACTTGAGCAGGAGTTGCGCGCCGCAAGTAGCGCACTGGCCCTGGGACAAGGCGATATGGCGTCGTGCGCGGCATACGTTGGTCGGGACGCGTCCAGGTATTTTTCGGGTAAACCTGGACTTTTGCAGGTATACCCGGGTTTTACCCGGATTTGGCCTTGTGCCGTCTAAGTTCATGGCCCCCGACCATACAGCGTCTAAGTCCGAGCCCGGCTCCGTGCGGGGGCTAAGTTGAGCGCTCGCTCGCTGCAGAGGCTAAGTGTAGAGCGACCCTCTAGCCCTACTACCCAACCAACCATTCTCGGGAAGGGGCGGAGCACCGTGACGCCTTCGGTGGCAGCGGTGGCAGCTGGCAGGGTGGTGTGGCGCGAGCGAGAACGACCTCGCTCGACTCGCGAGCCCTTGCTTGACATGCCAGCAGGGGCATGTCATGCCTTGCCAGGAAGGCCGGTACTACCACCTCTAGAGCCTGAGGCGGCGAGATTCAGCGAGATTGGTGCGATTTGTCGGCTGACCTATTGCTGCAATTACAACTCCATGAAAGTTTTGCCGAGATCAACAGACGGCGGCCGCACTGGGATAGGGGGGTGTCTCAGTGCGTAGAGGGGGGTGGGATAGCGTAGAGCACTGGGATAGGCCCGTTACTTCCTGCTGCCCGACGGCCGGGGGGTCTGGGCAAACACAGCAGGTCCACGCTGCTCAAGCGGCGGCGCGCCTCCTCGCGGCGCGGCCGGCTGGAGGATGATCAGCGTTCCATTCTTCGAGCGGGATGGCGGATGGGAGAAGCAGAAAGATTTAACCGCCCGGCTGAAACCGCCCCGCCCCGCCTCTCGCTCTCCCTACCCCGCCCCGCCTCGCCCCGCCCCGCCCTGCCCTGCCCCCCCCCCCCCCCCCCCGCGCGCGCCTCCTTCGCGCAACAGAGGTACCCCAGCCCTCCACTACCCTTGGTGCTCCGATGCAGGTAATGTGTGGCGCTGTCTCTCAAGATGGAAGCAGGAAGCTTCCCCATCCCGGCGGTTCGAATCCACGTGTGACGTGAGCCGAAGGTGAGGGGGAGAACCGTCCGAGGTCTGAAGCTCACCCATTGAGGAAGTGAGGGACTGCTGCCGCTCGCGTGCGAGGAGTTCGCAGTCGAGCGCGGCCTCTTCCCCTTCCACGAGCACGCTCATAACTTCACCAAGCGAATCGACGGTATCGACTGCACCAGAAGCCGGGGGCCACAGCGAGCCTTTAAGAGAGCCACGTCAGGGGCGAAGAGGGCGCGGATGTATTCCGCGTCCGAGTGAGAGATGAGGGAGCGCGCTCGAACTTGAGGCGTCGCATCTCGTAACCTCTGATGAGGTATGACTGCCCCTCCCGGCTCCGCCAGGCTACTGTTCCTCGTCCACAGCGCTAGTTGGTTGGCCAAATTCCCCTCGGGTGTAACGCAAAGGAAAAATATTGTCCGGTTGCCAGCTCTCTCAAGGTAGAACTTCTGCTCCGTTAGGAAGAAACTCCCTTCGTCGCCCGGATCGGTCTTGCGTCGTGACCGGGCGAGCAACTTCAAGGCGGCGGGGTTGCGGAGTCGCAAAAGTCTGACAAAGTGTGTCGCATTGCCGAAACGGGTGAGCCGGGGGTGACCGCCGCTGGGATTCATCAACTCATACCTGAACCCGGAGGCGACCCGCTCAGCTGGGTCGCGCAGGCTCATCAGAAAGCAGGAAGCGGAGGGGCTGACTAGGTGGTGCGAGTGCCGGAAGGGCTGGTCGGCCCAAGCGAGAGCTTGTGAGACACAAACATTGTGCCGGTGCCGGCGGGGGCGAGCTGAGAACACTGCCTTCTTTGCATCATTTGCATCAAGGGCGGAGCGGAAGGCAACCTCTACAACACCGCTCGCAACTGACTCGTCACCACGAAAGCAGTCATTCAATGCGGGGGGGGGCCGGGTTTGCTCGGATTACGGTTTGCTCGGATTACTTTCACTATAGGCGTAGTGGTTTTTTTGGCGTTCCGGTGCCCAAGATCATATGGAGCTGACCACAGGGTTTGCGGCGATCACTGTCCTACCAGCGGACACAGTGCTCAGTGGGCCGCGGATGACACCCGTGAATGACCTTTAAAGAGAAAACACCGCGCGCGGGCGTTGCTCGGCGGCGCTTGTTGTCGTTGCAACACGGGCAGATACGGGGCGATACGGGGCGATACGGGGAGATGCGACGAGATGCGAGGAGATAGATGCGAGGAGATGCGGGGAGATACGGGGAGATAGATAGAGGGATACCGCAAGTGGCGCAGGGTGCACCCCACCCGCAGATAGAGGAACGCACCCCACCCCGAGGGCACCGCCACCCCGAACGAGGGCACAGCGCGGCAGCGCGCTACAATAGCGCGATGTAGGCGGCGTGCGCGCGTGCGCCGAGGTTGCCGCACGGATCAATCCATAGCCGGCGCTCCGCCTCGACGATCACCTGCGGGCGGCAAGGGCCGGAGGTGACGGCACGGGCGTGAAGAGAGCACGGCGTGAAGGGAGTACCGGGGGAGAGGCAGGGGGAGAGGCTGGGGGAGGGGGGGGGGGGGGGTAAAGGGGGGGGGGGGGGGCCCCCCCTTTTTTTTGAACCAGCCCCCCCCAAAATTTATTTGGGCCCTGATAAACTTCACCTTCTCGTCAAAGGTGATTCGCGGGGGTGGCGCTTGCAGCGACGAAGGAGGTGGCGGCGGCAGCGACAGATCAGGCGGCGGAAGAAGCGCTGCGCGCGAGGGGCGGCGCGCGAGCACCTGCGGCGGCGGCGGTGCTCCAAAGACGGCGTCCGGATCGGGCTGCTGCGAGACGCGGCTCGGCCCGGCGGCGCTCGCCTGGCCTGGAGACCTCCGCTTGGACGCTGCGCCAGAGGGGCGGGGGGCCGCAGGGCGGTGCACGGCCGGCTCCTCCCCCTCCTCCTCCTCCCCCTCGGTCTCTGTCTCCGACTCCGCCCCCTCCAACGCGCCGCTGCCCGCCAGCCTGCCCGCCTGCCTGCGGGCGTAGAAGAGCGCCGCCTCCTCAGCGGTGGCGAAGTAGCCAAGGCCGGCCAACTTACCGCCACTCCTCACCTGCAGCTGGTACTTCTTGCTGCCTCGCACCCCCGGGCAGTGGTACACGCCTTTGTAGCCGGTGTTGCTGCTGCTGGTGGCGAGGGTGAGGCCCTCCCTCTCCGCCTGCCGGACTACTTCAGCGCCAGCGGCAGAGGAAGGCACGGGTGGCGGCGGCGGCGGCGGCGGCGCGGTGAGATCGCTGGTGTCCCTGCCCGCCTCCCTGCGGGCGTAGAAGAGCGCCGCCTGCTCGGCGGTGGCGAACATGCCGAGGTAGACCTGCTTGCCGCCAACACTCACCATCAGCTGGTACTTCTTGCCTCTGCCGTGCTGACTCGGGCAGTAAACAACGCCCCTGTAGCCGCTGCTGCTGCTGCTGCTGGTGGCGAGGGTGAGGCCCTCCCTCTCCGCCTGCCGTACTGCCTCGGCGCCAGCGGCAGTGGGAGCCGGGCGAGGCTGCCGCAGCTTGGCGGCGTCGGCGCGGCCGTACTTTGACCGAGCGTAGGCGGTGGCCGCCTCTTCGGCGGTGTCGAAGTGGACACTCTCGCCGCCATCCGTCACCTTTGCCACGAACTTCTTGCTGCTGCGGTTGTAGGTCACGTTCTTGTAGCCAGTCGTGTTCCTCTTGTCAATGGCTGGGATCAACACGAGGCGCTCGGACGCTGTGGCCCGCGACGAGCTCACGCGAGCGGGCGCCATAGCTTAGCAAAAAAATCACAGGCGGCGGAAGTGATCAGTGCGGTTGTTGGTCAGCTGGCGCGAATCCGGACTTGTGAAGAAACCCCATTCATTTCTCTCGCGTTCTCGGATCCGTCTCGGACATTACGGTCGCCATCCCAAACTGTCACTCCCCTTTCCCCGGCCGGGGGAGGCGTAGTTGCCACGGTTGAGGCTGCGGCGGAAGCGAAGCCGTTGCCGGAGCAGGTTGCGTCGGGCTTCGGCTCTTTGATCAGCAAGGCGTTTGCTGGCGCGGGCGAGAAGGTGGCGCGCGCAATCGACGACATCAAGACGGACGGCGCGGCGAGCGCGGCGGCCGAGGAGGAGCGGCGGCGGGCGCGGCGGCACACACACACACACGAGCTAGGTGCCTCGCTCGCCGTCCTCACTTAAGGCGGCTGAGGGCCCAACTTGAGAATCGTGCTTTGAGTGGGGTTGTTTGGTGTTGGGTTGGGTTGGTGGAGTTGGGTTGTCCGAGTGGGTTGGTTGGGTTGTTCGAGTGAGGTTGGGTCGTCGGCGCGAAGGGTGAGGTCTCGACCGCCGCCGCTCACGCCAGCGAGCGGCCACTACCGGTGTTTTTGGCTTCGCCACCGTCCAAAGCGTGCGCCATACGCTCGCCGACATCGAACGAGGCAGCACGCCTGTCCGACGAGTGGCTTGCTGTGCAGACGCCTTCTTGTGGCTCTCGTCGAGAGCGTTTTGCGGCCCGGCGGGTGGGAGAACATGTGTCGTTCTGATGTGTCACTGTGTACGTCACATCGGTCTTGATAACAAGCACGGTCGATCCGTCAAAGCGATACACTCCGTTGGACGGCTTGCACGGAGCTCTGTGCCGGCACACAGGAAGAGCCGTGCTGCAAGAAGAGCTCGATGGGGAGCGAGAACCGTCAGAGGTACTCACCCAGGTTTCGGAAGTCCGACTTGATGCGATCAGTTCCCCCCAGGTTTGACCGCGCAGCTCGCAAGACTCGTCGAGCACTCGCAGCCTCTCTGCGCCTCTCATGCTGCCGCGGCGCCTGCGGGAAGTTCAGTCTTTCCGGAAGATATCGTCGAGTTTTGAAAGCTGCGCGGTCAAACCTGGGGGGAAATAAGAGCGTTATCAAGACCGAGGTGACGTACACAGTGACACAACAGACGACACATATTCTCCCACCCGCCGGGCCGCCAAAACGCTCTCGACGAGAGCCACAAAGAAGAGCCATCCGCACAGCAAGCCGGTGGAGGCCGTGCGCGCGGAGTCACGATGGCGTGCCGGCTGTGGGCCCGGACGAAGGTCCTGGCTCGAAAACGCGAGCAGAGGCCGCCGTGTGGGGCCACGGCGAGCCTCGGCGAGAAAGGTCAGCACCTATCTCACGCGGTCGCAACCCGTGCACAACCCAGCCCAACCCAAAAAGCACGATTCTCAAGTTGGGCCCTCCGGCTCCCGCTTTTGTGCCAAGGTAAAGAAAGAAAGAAAAAGACAAAAGGGATGGATGGGAGGGAGGCACGCCCCCGCCACCACACAGGGATTTTAAGGAGAGCTAAATAAATAAAACGGACACACGATTTTAAGGAGAGCGTTAGTGCTAGTGGATAGACAATAATTCTTTTTCGTGCCACTACTGTGTACTCGCCTGTCTGCTGTCAGAGATCGCGCGCACCTTCTTTTTCGTGCCAGCAGTGCTGGCTTGCCCCGGGCGTGTACGAGTACCTCTCTCTCGCGTGTATCATCGCCCTCGCCTTGTTTGGCCGATGGACAACCCACTCCGGGGCCTGGACCCGGTGACGCAGAACGTCGTCACTGGACTAGTGCTGGCACACGTTGCCGCTCTGGTGCGTCGCGCATATGCCCTACTCCACCGCCCTCCGGCACACCACTTCAGCGCACCGCCTTCCGGCATCACCCCTCGTGTGTGCAGGTGCTCTGGTGCATGCTCGCGTGCTGCTCCGGCCCGAGCAAACGGCAGAAGGCTGAATGATGGGAGCGAGGTATGTGCGGGGGGCCCGGCGGGCGACTGGCGGCTTGTTCCATCGCAGCTGGCCAGATCCACGGGTACTGTCAATCCAGAGTCGGGTGGCGACGGCGGCAGGCGGCGGCGGCGCGCCGGCGCTGAGGATGGGGCGAGCGCGGCGGGACGGCGGCGCGCCGGCGCGGAGGATGAGCGAGCGCGGCGGAGGCGGGCTCAGCCGCGGGTGGCCGCAAGCCCGGTGCGGCCGGGTTGAGAGATTCGCGCCCTTGCTCCTATCTTTATACGTGTTCAGTACAATACTATTGGCAATGATGGAGCCGTGTCTCTGTGTTGCACGCACGCACCGTCCATTCTATTTTTGCGGGCAGACCTGTACCCTCACCGAGCGGTTGCTGACCGCGCGAACTCTCAGGGCGACGAGGACGACGCCGTCGCAGTCGCGCTGCGCTGCACCACACTTCAGCTCGACGACGTTGCCCTCGGGGTCCCTCACGTAGAGAGAGAAGCCCTGACCGTCCGCGCCGTACCGACTGCCCGAGGAGACCACCTCTGCGCCGCGAGCCGCGAGCCATTCGCGCGCCACCCGAACGTCAAAGTCGTCGCAGCGCAGCGCGAAGTGGTCGAGGGCGCTGGCCTCAGCGGCGGGGCTGCCGTTCGCAAACGCGAGGCTGCTCTCCATCGCGACGAAATCGATCAGCGACTCGCCCACGCGCACGTGCGACAGCGCGCCGCCGAAGCGGCCGAGCCACTCGGGCGCCCCGCCCAGCACCTCGATGTACCAGCGCGCCATCGCCTCGACCGACCGGCAGCGTAAAACGACGTGGTCGAGCCTCCGATGTTTGAAGGGGCACACCCGCACCTCCGCCACCGCCGCCGCCGCCGCAGCAGCTGGCGCCGCCGCAGCTGGCGCCGCCGTCGCCGCCGATTCAATCCGACGCGGCCGAGGGCGCGGCCGCGGCGGGATGGTGAGCGGCGGCGGCGCCTCCCCCTTGAGTGCGCGCGCCGCCTCGACCAGCTCACGCATCCGAGGGTCGGCGCCTGAAAGAAGAAATCGGAGCTCCCACCGGAAAAATCGACCCCGAGACGCCCCCGAGGCTTTGCGCCGGAGCCCGCCACGTGCGCCGCGTGGCTCTGCAGCATCATGGCAAGGCCGGGGTCGCTGGCCATGCACTCGCGCAACGACGCCTCGTACTCCTCGGCGTACACGGCGCGGGAGAGGATGCGCCTAGGAACGGTCCAGGAACGGTCCAGGAAAGGGACAGGCAAGGTCGGCGTACACGGCGCGGGAGGACGCGCTGGGCAGGCCCCATCCCTGCCACCACAGACCCCGCGCTCGCGCCGGGCGGGATCCGGATCCGGAGGTCGTCGGCCTACGGTAAACTCGGGTCATCTCGGGTGAGAGGGTGATCTCGGGCGGGGTCCGGATGCGGAGGTCGCTGGCCTCGTTGGAGCCAGCGCCGTCGCACCAAATCGTGAGGCAGAAGCGGCGGGCGGCAGAGGGGAGTACACGATGGAGGACCTGTGCGGGGGGAGGGGGGTGGCGACGTCTTCGCCGCTCGAGGGAGCAAGCAGCACGTCTGGCCAGCGCCCCTCCTCAGCAGCATCGAGGGCGTGCGGCTCGGAAGAGGATGTGTGCGTGTGTGGGTGGATGTGTGTGGGTGGATGTGTGTGTGTGTGCGTGTGCGTGTGCGTGTGCGTGCGTGCGTGCGTGCGTGCGTGCGAGCGTGCGTGCGTGCGGGTGGGGGCGGGCGGGTGGGCTGGGCGCACTCGGTCGGAAAGGAAGAGGACGACGCGGCGGTGGGCGGGCGGCAGCACGACGCGCTGGCCGAGCCAGGGAGAGAGCTCGAGCTCGCCGCCGTCCCCCTCCCTCCACTCCTACTCAGGGCCAGGCGCATGAGCAGGCTGGGTTGCGGTGCGCCGCTTCCTCCTTCCGCCCGCCGCTCCTCGTTGAAGTAGCAGAGGATCGAGAGGCGCCGCCGGCTCGGAGGGCCTGCATTGTCGAAGTGGAGCGGAAAGCAGCCGCCGTGCCCCTCGTTGCACTGCAGCTTGACCGTCACGCCGTCAGGGTCCAGCTGCAGCTCCGGGAAGCTGCACGCCGCCGCCTGAGGCAGCTCGAGCTGGCCGAGGGCGGAGACGAGGTCAGGCGCTGCCGCCTGCACCGGCGCGTCCTCCAGCTCCGCCTCGAAGATGTGTGGCTTCGTGAGGATGCGCGGCGCGGCCGAGTCGGGCGGCTTGAAGCCGAAGCGGTGCTTCCGCAGCTGGCCAGATCCACGCAGCCGTGAAAGCGCCGCGGCGATGGCAGCGGCCGGCTCGGCGGGGATGCAGTCATCCAGCACGGCATAGCCGGCCTCGAGGAGCCGCGAGCTCGCGAAGCGCTCCCGGATGAGCGTCATCTCGTGTGTATGTATATGACTCAGCAGGGCACCCGGGGACGGGGGGGAGTCGGAGCAGACAGGGCCGCTGAGGGAGCGCTGGAAAGAGGCCGCCGAGGAGGGCGGCGACCTCAACCGACTATGGAGGACCACTAGGCAGCTTACCTCCAGTATCGTAGTTTTTTAGTATCGAGGTCTCGTGAGTTTTGGCACTGATAAATTCGCGGCGTTCGCGGCGAGCCGAGCCAGGCCACGGGCTCGGCCTGCTGAGAGAAGACCTTCCCCGACGGCAGTGACAATTTTCCTCTAGTGTGTTTACAAACATATGGCCTCCCACCGCATCGGCGCCCGCCTGTCTGGCCTCTCGCCAGAGCAGCTCGTCGCCTTCATCGACGAGCAGGCGCCTCTCTGGAGCGCCGCCGCGCTGCGCGTGGCGGAGGAGCACGCCGCACGGCTCGAGCAGCCCGAGTGGGTGCTCTCCGAGGTCCTCCTCTCGCCGGACCTCGCCCCGCACATCCTCGCCCAGCTGCCGACCACGGAGCACGCCGTCAAGGGCACGTGCCGCGCGTGGCGCCGCGGCTGGAAGGAGACGCTCAAGAAGCGCGAGAGGCCGCGATTGCTCGTGTTTGGCGGCCACGACACGGACGGCAGTGTCCTTAGC